AATTAATATTAAAATTAACATATCTAATATAAAATAAAATAAAGCAATATTATATAAAAACGAATAAGGGACTACAAGTTCCCAAAAAACATGAGTAATTATATTTTAAAATAGTGATTTGTAGGTTTTGTTTTAAAAAATAGAATTCTTTTGGTTCTGATGTAAGGGCTCTTGTCTTATCGCCTATATTTTTTAAGAACTTTAAAGGAAGAGATAACGATCGGTGTAAAAATATAATTTGTGAATTTGGAATATTTCATTGTTTTTTTTTCTTGGCTATATCAACCCGATTAGAATTTAAATTTTTTTGGAAAGAAGATACGCATGTGAAGTCTCAAATTAAGGATTTCCCTAAAGACCAAGGCAAGGAAGTTTAGCCATCTGGTCTTAAACCATCATCTAATGATAAATTTGTAGGCTCCAGGATGTTTGGTATTCGAGCCCTGGTAAGAGAACGGCTAATAGCTAAATTAATTGCTGCATGCCTTGCATGCTTGCCTTGACTATTGATTGATAAATCATCATTCAACACTATATGGCACCAGGGTTGCCATGTCTCCCCCCCCCCATCAGCGGGATACTCCCGCAATTTTTTAGTTTACACGCAGACATTTCTCTCCCGCAAAACTACCGCAATTGGAAATCTCCAGCAAAAATCTACCGCAATTTTTTAATTTCTCCCGCAATTTTTTTTAAATGTATTTTAACATTTTTAATATATAAATAATAATTTTGAGAGACATTAATTGATGATTTTTATATTTTTAAAATAATTTTAAATATTTATTCAAAAACACGTCTAATTTGTAAATTTCTTTCTATCCTGTTTTATTTTTATCCAATAATAAATCAACATCATTTCATTCATATAAGTCAGTACAGGGGAGTATATCAAAATACAAAAATATTCTCAAATAATAAATAATACAGATGCAACTACATTTGCGGAAATCTTTTATATCAATCATGTAGTTCAACATTCACAGAGCTATATCATCACAATGTGGGTCGAATATTTTTCTCATGATATTTAACGACTCCAATATAAGTGCAAACCTTACTTGTGGCAGAAAATGAGTAAGGCTATCACAAGTGTTTTAGTACCTGAATCCTAGAGGTCAATTCTAGACGATTTGAAAGATGGGCATCCATATTCAATTCTAACAGATACATCTAATAAGGGAAATATTAAAACATTTCCCTTGATCCTTCGCTATCAAGAATAATAACACTTCCATAAAACTGTTAAAATTTTTTCCTCGGATAGTGAAAAATCCAACGATGTAGCTAGCCACATAATGGTAAATATAGCTGATTCAGGGTTATCAATGATTTGCATGTCAGTTTTCTACGCTGATAATGCCTCTGTAAATTTTGGCCAAAACCAAAGTTACCGAATTGAGGCAGCACAATAATGAATTAATACCAATTGGCTGTATATGCCATATACTACATAATTCTTGCAAGGCAATAAATGTACTAACTGTGGATGTCGAAATAATTGTGATGAAATGTTTTAACGAATTTAGTCATCAACTAAAAGAGTTAATGAATTAAAAGAGTTGGTGAAGTGGTCTGACTTGGAATGGTGTGAGTTGTTGCGATATATACCTATCAGGTGGTTGTCATTAATACCTGCCTTCGATAGAATTTTAAATTTTACAAACCCTTAAAAAAATACTTTTATTAAATAAAGATTTAAAAGCTGTCCTAAAATTTTGAAAATTTTTTTCGAGTATGAAATGGCAGAAGCATATTTGGGATTCATTTCACATGTAGGAAATCTACTTCATGCAGTTAATATTCAGTTGCAATCAGAATATTCTTTATAAAAAAGATTCACAAAATCATGCTACAGCTCTGTTCATCTCTACAGTTAAAAATTGATAATAAATTTTATGGCGCTATTGCTAAAAATATTATATTAAAATGTTCAAATAATACTCTAATTAATACATTTTTAAATGAAGCAGATATTTTTATTAAGACAATTTTAGAATATTTCAGAAACCATCAATTGATGGTTTTTATAATTAATAAATATATTAAAAATACCGAAAGACATTGATTTCTTGTTTGAGGAGATTGTAATTCTCTCTATTTTTTATGATTCATACTTAGAGTTAGATGGTCTAAAAGCAGAGGAGAAATGGATAGAATTTTTTCTTAATAACGATAAATCCCCATACTTGGAAAAAATATACGAGTATGCCTTCTCCTTACCTCTTTTGCCTCATCCGAGCGCATTTTTAGCCTGATAAGGACTGTCTGGAAAAAGGAGAGAAATCGTATTGCTTTAACAACATTTGAAGCCGAGGTAATGGTTAAACAAATATATAATATGTCATGCCAGGAATTTTATAAATATCTCAATAACGACGGTAAACATTTATTATTTAAATCTCAAATAATAAAATATAATTAAGTTTTAGCAATGGCGCCATAAAATTTATTGTCAATTTTTAACTGTAAAGATGAACACATCTGCAGCATAATTTTGTAAATCTTTGTTAAGATTCTTCTGATTGCAACTACACATTAACAGCATGTACATATAGTAGATTTTCTACATGTGAAATCATTCCTAAATATACCTCTGCCATTCATTATTGAAAAAGATTTTAAAAATATTAGGACAGCTTTTATAATCTTTATTTAAGAAATATTTTTTTAAAGGTTTATAAAATTTTAAAATTCCGATGGCGGGTATTAGGAACATATCGCAACCAACATTGTGCTGACTCAATTCTGTAAATACACTCTGTTTTTTACCAAATTCACTGAGGCATTATTAGATCAGAAAGCTGACATGTAATATATTGATAATCTCGAATCTGCTATATTTACCTTTATATGATTAGCTATGTCTTTGGATTTTTCACTATTTGAGGGGAAAAAATTTAATAGTTTTATTGAAACGACCTTAATTTTGATGAAATAGCGGAGGATCAAAGGGAATATTTTAATACTTTCCTTATTAGATGCATCTGTTAGAATTGCATATGTAAGCCCATTATTCAAATCGTCAAGAATTGACCTCCTGGATTTAGGTCCTAAAACATTGATAGCCTTGCTCATTTTTGTTCTACAAGTATGGTTTTCATTTATATTAGAGTCGTTAAATATTATGGGAAAAAGATTCTACCAACATTGTGATGATAAGTATCTCTGTGAATGTTGTACTACAAGATAAGTTATTATAATTGCCGCAACTTTAGTTTCATCTGTATTATTTTTTATTTTTGGAGTACCTTATTATGTATTTAAACGTGACACGTGATAATTAAGCGCCCGTCCCTATAATACACACACACGTTAGATTTTCAATTGCGGTTGTTTTGCGGGACATTCGAATAAAATATATTTTTAATTGTAAAATTAAAATCGTTTTTTTAAATAAAATTTTATCTTGTTTACATTCTTTTATATTTAAAAAAGATCGTTGGTTTTTTTTATAAATGAATATATTTTAATAAATCAAGATGTTATTTTATTTTGAAAAATAGTTACCGACTTTGTATTTATATAAACTAAATAAAAAATAATAAGCGGATAATTAAATCAATTCAATTTCCCGGCCGAAGGCCGAGTTTGCGAGCCTTCTGCCCGCAAGAATTTTTTTTTAGCAATTTTTATATTTCTACCGCAATTTTTATATTTCTCCCTCATGATATCAAATTTCTCCCGCAATTTGAAAATTTTGACCTGGCAACCCTGTATGGCACCCATGGCATAGCCATGGTTCTATTATTTTATTTCTATATAAATTTTCAAGTTGTTTCCAAACTTCCAGTGTAAGATACTTTGGGATATCGATATCTAAATCATCATTTTTTAGGCATTGCTTATCTATTTTCAAACCCAGTATATTACCGCAGCAAACTAATACATCGTTTCTGTTTAATTCCCTCAAAGATTATTAACAATATCTGATATATTTTGCGAGGACTCTTGTAATTTAATTATCTATATATAAATATAGTGAATGAATAGAAAATAAATATAAAAACCTGAATTTATTTCTTTATTAAGAAATCCTTTTTGTAAATTTTTTATCTGATATTAAATAAAATAGTGAAAAATGATTTTCCATATCCCTATCTTCTAAGTTTCACATTTTTTTTCTCAGATTTTTTCTTGATAATACTATTACTCTAAGATCCGATTTTTATGTATTCCTTGTCTTTTCATTCTGGCCTGCAATTTGATATTCAATATTTTCATCTCCATATTTTCTTTATCTAATTTAATAAAAAAAATGGATATAGAATATTGTAAATCTTCACATTTTCTCCCTCTTATAATAATTCATTTTCTCAATTCCAAACTCGTCAACTTTGTTTTAAACAAAGGAATTCCAACCCATGCCCCAGAACGAAAAATATTGTCATGATATTAGATAAAATTAAATATAATGTAAATCTACAACAGTATGACAAACATATAAAATTTATAGTGGAAATTGCAAATAAGATATTAATTCTCCTCTTTTTGTGGTTCATCTTTATCATTTATTACATCTCAATTTAATTAGATTTAACCATGTCATAAAATTAAAATCTGTCAATGGCTATTAATTAATGTGTCAAATATGAATCATACGTGAACCCTGGATTTTCTAATCGTAGGAGCACGCCAACATTGTAAAATTTATGAGAAAGAAAACGATTATAAAATTTGTTGAAGAAACGAGAAATGTGATGATAAAGAATTCCATATAAAATTATTAAAATCTTACTTATTTCAAATATTTAAAAGCAAGCAAATATTATTTTTCTCTTCTTATTATTCTTTTAAAAATAGTAAAGCAAAAATAATTTACGAATCAAAAAAATGAATGATCATTCTGTTCTTTCGAAATTAGTATATCTGTTTAGAGAAATTATTTCATCTAAATACGAGTACATAAAAAATATATGTAAAAAGTAGCTCGCAATGAGAAACAAAAAATATATAAATTTACTTTAAAATTTGACACCATACACAATATAACTCTCAAATGACAGTTCACTTGACAAGTGATTTGTTAACTATTTTTTATAGCCAGTATATAAAATAAATTTTCCTTTTATTCTATTAAAAATATAAGAATGTCTCGTGCAACTAGGGCTGAAACTAGGAGCAAGGCTAAAGAGGATATCAAGAGATTTATGCATTCTATTGAAAAAGTTCGCAAATGGGAAAAAAGATGGGTTACCATTGGAGATACCACAATGAGAGTTTTTAAATGGGTACCTATTATAAATTATAATAATCCTCTTAATAAATCTCAATTAATCAATGCTAAAGGGCATGTTAACAAAAGGAATTCACTCATTAAATTAGAAAATTGTGATCAAAATATTGATAATTTGACTAATCCTACACAAAACATTAAAATTTTAACCCAAATATCCAAAACGCCAATTAATTCTCATATTGATATTGATGGTAATTATGTAAATGAAAGAGATAGTATAATAAATAAATTGTATAAAAACTTATCAAATATAGAAAATGCTGAAACCACTGCACCTATTGATACTTCTATTGAAGAAAATAAAAAAAATAATATTCCAAATCAAATGAAGGCACTTGAAACAAAACAAATGGAACTTCCAAAATCTATTCAAAATGATAATAAAGTAAGACATATTGATAAAATGTTAGTTGAAGAACAAACATTTATATCATCAACTATGACATATAAAGATGAAGAAATTTCAAATATACATTCTACTGAATCTTTAAACACAGACATTTTTGTATCTAATGAAAACATTAATATAAATGAGGATGTAACATCTACAGAGGATGATAATGCTTAATGTGATTATATTATAACTTTTAAATTTTGTAAATATTATTATCAAATATTTATTAGAGCAATATTTTAATACAATAAAAAAAAGAGTTTATCATATATAAAAAATTATGGATTAGTACAATTATTTTTTGTTATAAGAAATATTTATTGAAATTAATTTAATATAATGCTACATTTCCATCAGCACCTGTAGAAAGACTATTTGCACTACAACTTTGCTAAATAAGTATTATAGAATACTTTTAAATAAAAAAGTGTTTGAAAATATTTTTTTTTTTAAAAAAAGTCATGTATATTTCAGTGTTTTTAAAATAGCACGCTACAAGTAGTGCACTACTTTTTTCAGTAGTGGTAGCTTTAGCTGGCTACTTTTTTTTAGAAGATAGTGATAGCTCACTACTAATTTAGAAAGTAGCGAAGTAGTGCTAAATTTTACATAATAAATACATCTAAAAATTATTAAAATATATTTTTTATTAAATCTAAAATTATAATCTTTTTATATAATTTAATTTTGAAATTTATATTTAAAAATATACATTATAAATCTAGCTACTAAAAATGTATGAGATATTTGAAGATAGCAAAATTTCTTTGGGAAATGAGAAAAATATAGATTATCCTTTCCCAAAATTCCAAAAATACTTTAATCTTGAAGAAAAAATTACTACTGGATATCGGTTTAGATGCAAGAAAATTTTGCCAACTACTGGTAGAGTGAGAGTCTATGCTAAAAGGCATTGAGAAAAGATCAAAACTTTATTTTTATTTTCTATTATACAATTATATAAATGAATGATTTATTGCTTGATTAGCCATAATTTAAATTGGCTTAATTTACAACACAATCTATAATATTAATATATAGTATTAATATAAAATTCAAAATTAATATATTATTAATTACCTTGTGTATAATAATTATATTTTTAAAATCTTTATTTACCATAATTTAATGCTATTTTAATATTTTTTTATAAATGACTCTAAATCTCAGATAAATTTAAATTTTGAAAATTAAAAAGGTATTCTTTTATAATTAATACAATCGTTTTATATAAATTAGATTTCCAGATCTGTATGTTCATCCTAGTTTCAAATTAAATTGACCATACATTAATTTGACTGAATCTAAATGGCAACTTGATAGGATGATGGTAACGTTAAAAAATGCCATGCCTAACCACGATACTTATACTATACCAAGATCGAAACCGCGGCCTTCCATAGACGATTTTTTTGAAATAAATAATAAAAATAATAAATTGAACCTCTAGATTTTTTTAAATCTAAAAATACTCATTTAAATATCTTTGATGATTTTTTTCATATAAAAAGTGTGTTAATAAATTTAACTGTGTTGCCCTCAAGTGCTTGTGCGGAACGATTATTTAGTATGGCAAAACTTATACTTGATGATCGTCGCTCTAGACTTGGGGATGACAGTATCAAAATGTTATTATTATTAAAGTGCAATATTAAATAAATTATATATATATGTAACAAATTATAGTCATGTTTTATACCAATATTTTATTTGTAGAAATAAAGTTATGTAAAAAATATTTTAAAAAATAATCAAAATAGCGTAAAAAGTAGCTAATAGCGCGCTACTCATTTTAAAACGATAGCGGTATCGATAGCGCGTTATTTTTTTTTATAAAATAGCGGTAGCGATAGCGCGCTACTTTTAAAGTAGCGTTTAACAACAATGGTCTATTTAAAATAGACGTTAAAAATTATTCAATACATTTGTTGATTATGTTAAGTCCCATATAATATATTTAGATATAAATTATATTCCATTCTGTAACACAGAATTTGATTTTATTTCTTAAAATAAAATTAATATCATAATTTATAAATGTCTTATGCTGTCCATTTTATCGTTATAAAGGTAAGCTCAGGGGCCCCTACAACGGGGGGGGGGGTCCGAAGCAACTGCTTCAGTAAATTTGAGTGGGGGTACTTCTTTTTTTTAAAATTTTTTTATTTAAATTTTTTTTAAATTTAAAAAAATTTTTTTTTTTTACATCCATCATGATCATGTGATTTCTGGTTTGTAAATGTAATAATAAGACCCCCCTCCCACCACTTAATATTTAATTTAAAATATTGACGGAAATTTTGGTCGATGTTTAGTAAATTTTATTTAATATCTCGTAACCAAGCCTTCTGGGAGAACAGGCAACAAGAAGGCAATATGATGGCCCTTATTAAGCTTATTGCAGATTCTGAACCTATACCAAAAATGTATATACAGCAAAATGAAGAAAGAAAAAAGGATAAAAAAAATAAGGGATTAAAAACGAAATTATTTTCAAACCTATTATCATATAATAACATAAACATTCTCATTGAAACCATGAAAAATATGGTTATAAAAAAAATTCAAAATGAGATTACATTTAACAGATGCTTTTCAATCATAGTTGATGGCACATACGATGTTTCGAAATCAGAAGCAATAGCTTTGATAGTAAGATATGTTGAAAATAGTGAGACGCCGAAGCCTGTTGAAAGACTGATTGACATATATTGTACGGGAAATACCACAGGTCTCGATATAAAGCATAATATAATATCCAAACTTGGCTCGATGAATTTACCCCTTGAATATCTAGTTGGGCAAAGTTATTATGGCGCCTCAAACATGAGTGGAAGAATCAATGGTGTGCAAGCCTTGATTAGAGCAGAGGCGCCAAAGGCAGCTTTTATTTGGTGTTATTGTCATCGATTAAATTTAATCGTTGTTCAATTATGCCAATCAATTAAAAAACTTCGAAATGTTCTAGGAATACTAGATGAGATTAATGTCTATTTTAATGGTGTAAAAAGATATGAGATACTCAAAAAATTTCAGTGTAATGATCTGAAAAAATCGCAACGATTTCTACGCGTCAAGAATACCACTCGGTAATAGTTCCTTATTTATTTAAATTTTAAATATTTTTTTTATTTAGAAGCTGGCTATCGTCATATAAAGCTATTGTAAATTTTTTTCAACTTTATGATGCCTTGAGGGCAGCTTTAACAAATTTAAAGGATTCTGAAGATCCTGCCACTTCCACTATGGCTAGTGCTATAGTCTTTAGAATAGAAAAATTTGATTTTATCTTATCACTTTGTATTTTGGATAAAATATTGTTGATAACAAGTTTGGCTTGTACAAAATTGCAAACCATTTCGAAGGATATAGGGTATGCAATAAATCAAATTCAATTGACAAAAGATTGCTTGATTAATTTGAGAAGTATAATATAAATTATTGTCTTAATTATTTTTTAATCTAATAGATAATAACACTGAATTATTTTGATGTTTTTTCAAAGGCGCAAGATTTTATGAAGGAGAGAAATCTACCTTTTGATTTTGAAAGTTCTAGACTTCAAACATTACAATCCAAAAAGGAGAGGTATATATACTTTCATCATTAAATATAGAAATTTTTTTTAGCTTTAAAATAGGTGTGTTTTATGCTGCACTCGATTTAATTATTATGCAGTTTAACGAAAGATTTAAAGATGATTCAATGAAATTTTTACATCAAACATCATTTTTTACGCCAATAGGAATGGCAGAAAAATCAATTATTAAAGAAGATATCGAGGATATCTGTGAATTTTACAATTTAAATTCAAGTCAAATTTTCGAAAAAATGTTGAAGTTTAGAAATATTTATAAGATGGCCAAAATGGGGAATGTAATTATTACTCATGACCTAGAGGTTCAAGAATCTAAAGATTTGTCAGATTTTGAGAATTGTAAATTTATTTAATTAAAATATTTTTACCAATACATTATTTAGCTTCTTCTGATGATGATGATTACGATTCAGATTGGAAAAACTATTCATTTATTTTACCTTATCGTTTACTTTTAAATTTTTCTGCTTTCCCTAATTTAAGAATTTTATATAAATATTTATTAACCATTCCCACAACCTCATGTACTGCCGAAAGAGTCATGAGTAAAATTAAATTAATTAAAACAGACTGCGCAATACCATGAAAGATTCTTTTCTCAATAATTTAACCATATTATCAATGGAAATTTTTTTATTTAAACAATTAAATACTGATGAAATTATAAATTCTTTCGCTTTCTCTTCACCTAATTTATCTAAATTATTAATTTAAAAATAATATTTATAAAGTTATATTTTTTGCATTTTATTTATATTATATATTAAAAATTGATGCAATAAAAATTTATTTTTGAAATTTATGGGTGTCATAATTATCATTTTTTCGAAGGGGGGGGATACTTTTCAAGGGGGTACTTTTCATGGGGGTATTCTGCTTCATTCGCTCAAAAAGTGTAGGGGCCACTGGGTAAGCTCCCCTGGATCACCAAAATTTGATGATTATAAGGGATGCCAAATTTTGTTTCTTGTTTGATTTTATAGAAAAAATGCAAATTTATTTAATATTTCAGAGACCTGCAGAGGTATCATATGCACAGCCTGGCTGGATTTTTTTTAAGAAATTTTTGGCCTTGTCCACATTATTTTTTTGGCCTGGGTTTTATATTTTTAGGCCCCGTTTTTTTTAATAAAAATTTTTAGGCCTGGCCCAGATTTTTAAAAATATTTTATATTTGTTTTTAATTTTCATATCTAATAATCGCTATTTAAAATATATGGCCTGGCCTGGGTATTTTTTTAAAAAAAATTTTGGGCTGGGCCTTCAAGTCTGATATTTTTATGAAATTAACGTTGACCACTAAAATAGTCGAAGAAAAAAAATGGCCATATTTGTCAGAAATTCAGATTAAAGTTTTAGTACATTGTAGAAATATAATTTAATTTGTACAAAGTCCATAATGGTAAAATTGCATTAGTTTCTTATATGCCAAAATAAAAAATAATTTATAATTTGTTTAATAATTTTATGATTTTTTAATTAAACAATATATATTCAAGATCAAAAACCTGCAGGATGGGCCCTAAGCATGACCTAGGTACTTGGGCTAAGTGGTGATTTAATTTTTTTGAATATACCTGGACTGGCTTAAAAAATTTTTTTTTGAAATACGT